TACAAGTGTTGCGACTTTTTCGTGATGACGTTGCGAGGTAGATTCTGCTGATCTTCTGTATATATGGCAACGGTTACAATCAACGGTTAGATCAGCTGATTGATGCTTGGTTGCAAAGAGGGAAACATCCTCTGTACTCTTGCTAGGGTGTCATAATTCATCAGATAATCTCAGATGATATTCTGCCACTAATATCAGTTCGTCGAATGATTCATGAGAGGAAAGAGCACAACAATAGACCGTTAAGGGCAGTCAATAGTTTCAAGGACAATTCAATATTGAGATACAATAAATTTAGCAAATGCCTACTTTTAGGAGAAGACAAAGCCTTCAAAACTTTCTGCTTTACACTCACATAGAGGAAGAGGATGACAGTGTGCGTATCCTACCGTCATTTTTATATATGAACTATTTAAATTGTCGCGACTAATATGTATTTTTTGAATACAACAGATTGCTTTACAAAACTATTTTATCAAGTAATTATCTAGTTCTGCATACTAATTTGATATCAATGCCACTTCACACACAAGGCATTGGTTGTTATCAAGATTCTTGATTATATTACTTGAATTCTCTATGACAGCATTATTTTACAGTTTTAGTAGAAGACCTCTATATAATCCTGCCAATTGTTCAGCGGCTAATCTCGGCTTTCCTCGAATTGCTTGATTCTCATCAAGTGATGACCGAAGGCAACCCTCTATTCCTCTAATTATCGTAAGAGAATCATTTATACTCTTTATCTTCGGGTCGTCCTTTGAGTCCCCATCGGACTCAGCTTTGAGCTCGTCCACTTTCAGGCCCAAGCCATCACCAATATCTCTAAATTGTTCACAAAGAGAAACGGTCTGATCATAGCTGTCCTGACTGCTGCGAAGTTTTTCTTGTACGTTTGAGGCTTTCTCTGCCGCACTCTGGTTCGAAGATATCGTAAGAGATGAGTAAGATTGATGGCTTCAAAAGAACCAGAATGTGACTTTACCATTCTCCTCCTCTTTTTAGTTTTAGAATGCTGATGGCATGGAGTTGTGTCTTCCATGTCTGCCATTTCTCTGGGATTTGCTGGCTTGTAGGTATGAACTTGGACGATCACTGCTGCGAAGACTTTGCTTATATACTATTAAATGTCATCCTGCAATACAACTTTGCTGTTGCCACATTTGTGTGACCGTTCTCTGTATCTGGTACTTTGCTGATCGTAGGAATGAAGGAGGACAGTATATTAGCGATCCGCCGCAGCAAAGCTACGCCGATACTATTTTGAGTCTTTTAGGATACCGAGCGAGATTGGCCCACCTTAAGAAGTTGCGAGGATATCGTTATATATGTGGTTCTCATTAATCATCATCATTCAAGTCAAGCTCGATGTCCCACACAGGACTCGGGCTCCTATGGCGCCGACTATCTTCCATCCTTTGCTGTTGCCCCCCTGTCACGTAATCAACGTCACTTTGCTGCCCTTTTCCAGGTACAGGCAGATTCCCTTTCCCTTTCTTGGCAAGGCGTGTGTCGATTTGCACTTCTTCGGGATCTCGCGTCCCACTGATCTCATCTTCGTTGAGGTCGAGTTCAATGTCCCAGATAGGACTAGGTTCACGTTGCGCTTGTCTGGAAGACCGGGAGGCACGACTAGGTGTAAGCGCATGTGTGGAGGTGGGAGGGGGAGGCGTAGGCATGTCTGCTGCTGAGCCAAATTTATGTATTCGACTGGAAGTCGGCGTGCTCGAGCTGTTGGACAATTGACTTTGGCTCTGCGTCTGACTGTCGCGAATTTCAGCCGACCTTCCTAGTTCTGGAATAACTGATTCCCCTTCCTCCCGCTGTGACGTTTCTACTTCGCCGTTGTTTTGTGTTGAAGACTCGGATTCGAGCTGCACTTGAGATTGTGTGAATGCGGGAAGTGCGCTCGTCGCTTTATTTCGAAATGGCTTGTCGAAAGCTTCCAGAATACGCCGAACTTTCACTTGGCCAAAACCAGGGAGGCGCCGTAATTCTTCGGGTGTGGTATGTGCGATTTTTGAAAAACTCTATTAATGCACGCATTCTATATCAGCATCTACAATTGTTTTGACAGGATGGGGCAAAGGATACGTACTCCGAAAGAAGTTCTGAGCGTCTCAACGTCAGTCTTGTTTACTTTATTGATACTTGTTAAAGCCGAACGCAGCATTGCGTTGTACTCCTTGTCGACACGTTCTTTAATGAGGTCTGGGGGCCTGTGTTCGAACAGCTTATATGTCGCAAGATACATTCCGGCTTCCTCATTTCTTCATGCCATTTTGTGGTATACGTTCGTTAGAGGGAGTGATTGCAGCTAGAAAAAGAGGGCGAAAACTCACGACCAACAAACAATAATGGTTATGTTGTTGATAAGACAGATCTTTGTCAGTTCACGTATGGGTTCTTGATGTTCGCTCTTAAGGCTACACACGTCAACGCATAATCCCGGAAGATCGGGCGAGTCTTTCAATACTCACGACATCACACATCAATATTAGCAATCTGAGCGTAAATAGGTTTCCGAGCCTTTGTATCCGTTGGTGTATGTACTCTGGGTGAAGTCTATGATACCTTAGACTATGATATGACATGAGCTTGATTCAGGCGACAGACGGAAGCAGCGTACCTCAAGTAGAGAGCACATGTCGTTCTTCCGAGTTGAAAGTCTGGAATAATGTCGCCAAACTCTTTGCTTACGTTGCGCACGCATTCCAAGAGCGGGTTGAGTCTCTGTCGCGTATTCTTAGTGTCCCAGCTTCCTATTTGCTATAGATCTGCTGAAACGCACTTGACATGGATTAATGACAACAGCGTTCCCTGATCCTGGCTGGACTACCGGTGGTTTTGCAGCCTGACTGCCTGCGCCAGAGACTGACGACATGGTGGCAGGAGATGACACTACTGGCGAAGAGGCGCATCGCGGCAAAGTCAGGTGACCGACGTGTTCCTCTTCGGCAGGACTCGGATGTCGAACACGTCTTGACTTCGGCGCAGCACCAGCATATACAATCTATAAAGGCCTTTTGGTAGGATGAGGTTGAAACGATAGACTGTTCTATCCGCCATGCAGTCCCTCACTGCGCAGGGCATACTAGCAGAATTGTCGTCTCACCTACATTTCCCGCTTGCTAGCACTCGAAACACAATCACACGGCATCCGACACTATCAATCTCAGCCTCAGTAGTTGCTGTGCTCTTCCCACTAGCGCTCCGAAACTACCGGTCCTACAAGACTCTTGAGCGAGGTGGATTCAAATTTCCTGTTGTTGGTTGGGCAGTTTCTCTTCTCTTGAAACCAGTTGGGAGAAACACAGTTACTGTGGAGGAGTATGAAAAAGACTCGGACAAGAGCTCATGGCTGAAAGCGGGTGACGGACCAACCGAAATTCCACTGAGGGGAAGGCAACGACCAAAAACGGGATGGCATTTCCTTCCGCATCGACAGGTTGAGTACTTCCCAAATGAAAAGACACAAAAGGTTTGCAATATTTTCTTCCACCGAAGTTGCATGAAACAAAATATTCATCATTCTTAGCTCCTTACCGATGAATTCAAGAAAATCGCCGAGACGAACAGTTCACTCATCCAGGTTGGCCGTTCACCACACGAGAACTTTCTTAATGCACTCCTTGTACATCCGAGCGTGCAAAGTCCGCATCCTGTTACGGACGCGTCGTGGCGTGAAATCGGTCATGTCCATTCCCTGAAGGACTTTTCGATGCATGTTACGCTCTCACCTCAAGACTGTAAACTGGGTATATATTTCTTTTCGACATCTGTTTTCTGATGGAGTACTGAAAAGACACTTGGGATGTACAGTGATTGAACGAGAGTGGGGCGAACGGCATCCTATCAGCGGTGTCATTGGACTGCCGAAAGAATACCTCATGCTGTATGCACCACTTACGGAGGACGACGTACGCGTCGTAGGACTCATTGTCCGAGCTTCTGTTAGCTATATGACGGGTACTAAAAACGTGCATTAGATGTAAACTAATGCAGACTGGAATACTGAACTCTACTCTCGAGACTCTGCTTACTAATTTATCCCTTGGCCGTTTAATCATGCTGCCACAATTGTTATTAGACATCAAAAGGAATTTACGAGCAAGACTTTGTCCACTGGGGATTAGCTCTTGCTAGAAACCACCTTATGTTTCTCCGCAATTATCTGAAAACAATTCAACTACACTGATTTGCGGTTGGGCGATAAATGTATCTCTTCGCTGAGTTGAGGATGAGTTGAAACATGAAACAACAGAGTCTCACGCCACTGATGAGTGCCGCAGGCCGAGGACTGTGGGAAATGGCCACTGAGTGGACGTGCCTCTTCCCGAATCCCCCACTTAAATTTTGCTTCCGGCACATCAGAGTGGCTTACAACACCCCGTTTAATGAAATGCTGCACTCAGGGACACGAAGATATGGGACGATGCGTAATTCATTCATACTTACTGATATTGCACAGGAACAGCCAATTCTCAACCCGCATCAATTTCTGTAACGGGCGCTCTGACATTTTCTTCCGTGACTTCGGAATCCGCACCGTTAGACTCTGAAAGGCTATCACGCTGGGGTAAATTTCTGTTCAATCCTGCTCAATCGGAGACTTTCTATTGTATGATGACGAGAGAGCGGAGGTTGAATCGATAACGCTTCAGCTCAACGTTACGATATAAATGATGGCCGCCAGTCTTCTAAACTTGAGTGTGGGCAGCCATTATGTCTCTTTTATGGTGGGATATCGCCGCTGCAAGCCTTGCAATCACCGTCAGCTATATTCTGTACACGAGGGGCCATGCGGTTGCACTTCGATTGCCGCCCAGTCCTCCCAAGGATTTCTTATTAGGGCACGCAAGGAAAGTTCCGTTCTATAAAGGGTGGGAGGTCTACGCAAAATGGAACGAAGAATACGGTGCGTGCACACTTTGACATTTACGTTACCTTCAATGTTGAGTATTTCATAGGCGATGTCATCTGCACTCAAGTTTTAGGTCGCTCCATGATCGTGTTGAACTCGATTACTGCGGCGCGCGATCTTCTGGAAAAGAGGAGCAACACATTCTCCGACAGGCCATTCCTTCCGGTATTCATTGAGTACGGCAGCACCCTCATTCTACTCTACTTTCCAGGAAGTCGAATAACATGTTTACAGAATGGGGTGGGAACTCATGCTTCCAATCATTCCTTATGGTCCGCGTTTTCGGAAACATCGTCGCATTCTACATCATTACTTCGGTCCTCAGGCACTGTCAGCGTATCAACCAACGCAAGAGCGCGAAGTTCGTAAACTCCTCCGCCGACTGCTGATCAAGCCTGAAAACTTCATCACGCACATTCATAAGTAAATAATCTTAACAAATCTTGAGATCACTGATAACGAGTGTGGCAGTTTCATCGCCGGAACGATCATCTCGGTCACATACGGACATGAGATCGTCAAAGAGAACGATCCGTATGTTGAACTTGTCGAAGAAGCGGCGCACATCGTTTCAAGCTCCGGTAACGTCGGGACAACACTCCTCGACGTGTTTCCATTCAGTGAGCAAATTTAATCGCCAATTTAGTCCGTGTATTGAGCCGCTTTTAGTGCGATATGCTCCTGCTTGGTTACCTGGAATGGGTGTAAAGAGGATTATTCCGAAAGCACGAGAACTCGTCGGATACGTTATGACGCACCCGTTGGAAGATCTTAAAGTGAAGAGGGTAAGTAGCCCAGATGAAGATTAGTGAATAAACATCTTAACCTGAGACACGTTTCCCGATAGGCTAAAGGAAATGCTCCTCCGTGCTTAATGAACGAACTACTGGATAGATACGAGGAAATGCATGTGATTGACCCTGAACATGAAAGGGACATTATGTACATTGGAGCAACAATTTACGCAGGTGAAACAATTACTTTATACATGAATGCAATAATCTCATCAACCTTCTTCATTAGCTGGTTCGGATACAGTGAGTGGTAGAGAATTGTTCCGGAGTCTTAGAACCCATAAGAGTATTTCAGACCAAATCGGCTCTCACAACGTTCTTCCTGTTGATGACAATCTATCCTGAAGTGGCGAAGAAGGCTCAGGAGGAAATTGATCGAGTCGTCGGGAAAGACCGTCTGCCATGTGCCGAAGATAGGAATGACCTTCCTTATCTTAATTGCGTGCTAAAGGAGATGTATCGGTACGTGCACTGCTCTTCCTTACCGTTCTCGACGTGAAGCTAATGCTTATCCTAGGATGCAACCTCCTGCACCTCTCGGTCCGTGATCACCTTTAACTAGTTTTCTGTGCTTATCCAATATGGTTGAATAGGCGTCCCGCATAAGTCTACACAGGCTGAGGAATATCGAGGATGGACAATCCCAGAAGGAACGGTTGCAGTTACTAACATCTGGTTTGTACATTCATTCGATTATTTCTCGTTCATTGCTCATTAGATATTCAGGCTAATGATGAGGGATGAAAAGAATTTCCCGAATCCAGAGACCTTCATGCCTGAACGACATATGGCAAAGGTAAAAGACGATCCGAATGGCACTTCTTCCGCTGCCGCGTCGGCCGATGCTACATCGTTTGTCGCAGAAGATGATCCCAGCAGCATAGTATTCGGATTCGGAAGAAGGTCAGCTTGCTACAAAATAGTAGTTTTTATTACTTTCTGAAGCTTTGTAACAAGGGCTTGCCCTGGAAAGTATTTCGCAGACTCGATGCTATGGGAAGCAGCTGCGAACGTACTAGCGTTATTCGATATGCGGCTATACACAGACCCTGAAACCGGGAAGACCGAGGTACCTAAGTTCGAGTTCGATGATGATGGGATCATAGCGTGAGTAAAGCTTCCAGCAGGTAAACTCCTCGTTACTTAGGCTGAATTTAATTTATAGATATCCGAAGCCTTTCAAATGTGTGATTATCCCGCGAGACGCAAAACGGGTCGATGATATGACCATCAATATATAATCTGAAAAATGCGTAGCTACCGTACAATTAACTACGAGTTTTAATATTATCTTGTCTCTTTCTGCTTTATTGAAGGGACTATCCAGAGTCCAATTTTCATCCAATGCGAAGGGCAAAGGATAAGGCACAGTATTGCGCAAGAATAGACCGTCAGGTGTTTAGAACTTTGCAAGGCTTTGCAATATTGATTAAGTACTTCGATGTCTGAGCTTAAAACAGCCTACAGAAATTCGCCACAATCTGCAAGAAAAGGACATGATATACTGAAACTAGAATGATTCGATATTCTAGACAACGACCTTTCACATCAGTGAAATTACCTGCATGCCATAATTTTTAGTAAAACTCCTTGTTGTTATTATTCCCGAGCGTTCTTAAATTGAATGTTTGTTCTGTGACGATAGTCCTTTTAAAAGAAGCCTAACTGTAGACAACTGATTGAAATTTTGCTTAGATGCTAAGATCACTGATTTCTCGAATAATCGACTCAATTCTTGTTCTAATGCCCCAATTGCAGGTGTAACCTTGCAAGATAGCTCTGATCGAGATTCTCGAACATGTTACTCCATTACATCCGTACACAAGCACTACAAACCATTCTTCCTTGGAGCTGAACTGCCTCGTTCAGCTTTGAGCAGTAGCCTCAGTATCTCTTCGGAGATTCTGATGATTCTGTTCAAGACCGATATGTCAAATAGTATGGTTTCTTTAGCATCTATGTTGAACTCGCGCATTGCTAGGTGTTGACCATTGCAATGAACGAGTTCAACGCGGAGACATAAGAACCAACGCTTTTGACACAGTCGGACACAGCTGCTTGCTCTGTGTGTGTAGAACAAGTCTCACTTTTTTTTTGCCCTTAAATACTTAGGGTCATCCCAGACTTACGTTGTATGTGAAAGTAACGAGGGGTGATTTGCGCCTGGACCAGCTTGGTCATACTTGCGTCCCTTTCTTAACATGTACTCAGTAAAGAATTTAGAGAATGTATGACTATAGGCATTGATTTTACTTTAGGAAAGTGGGTTGCTGAACAGAGAAGTGTACAGATGGCTATGTGAAGCACTGACAACATGTATGAAGTCAACGAGCGGAGATAGAACTGGCCCGTGAGCACTGGGAAGCGTTGTCTTCTAGCAAGAAGCAATTTTTTCTTGATGCACAGAATTACTCTCGATTGACAGCGCAATACGTAACACAAGAAATGTTAGCACATGATGAAAAGAACGGCGCTCGATCTTCGCCTAATTTACGGCTAAGACTCCAAACGCCTACATTATCTGGTATGTGCACAGGAGCAATAAATATGTAAACACACAGAGAAAAATCCTATGAACTCAATTCCACAGATCAGGATCATATTGAAATATATTGTAATGATGGAGAACTTACAACGCCTCTCTGTGACTTCTGCACCCCTGTGAATTGATTAGTCCCTTAGTTGTTTCATTTCTTTGTGTACCCAAGATAGTATAATATTACTTATGAGAGTTCTTTTTCTAGTATGAGTAATGTAAGGCAAGGCACACATGTGAAACTATGTTCAGTCCTTAAGTATACATATACAGAAAAATATGTTATAATGTATAATACTATACTGTATATTTTGTATAATGTATCAAGTTTCTTTATAACAGATTTTGGATTGCTTGCTGAAGTTGTATATTATAATGTATAAAATATATAATATATTAGATTTGCCTTCTTCTAGTACTATACAGTATATACTGTAATATAAACTACTGTACATAGTTTTTCTCTTTTTTATCTCTCATTTCCTACTATAAATACTAAATTTAGATAATTAGTTATTATGTAACAAGAATCTAATCATTTGTAATCAAAGACTTTGTTAAGTAATTATTGTTAAAAGTCTGATAGTTACTTTTAACTACTCTCTTTACAAAAAGTAATAAGTAAAAAATACTAGTATACAGAAAAAGCTACTCTTTAATTAAGAATAAGCTTACTATATAAGGCTATATTTAAACTATCTGACAATTTGAGCTTGTTAATATAACTGTTAATACTCTTTATTTGTTAAATAATAAAGAAATAAGTTCTTTTTTTATTACTTTACTAACTAACTAGCTATTTATAAAGACCTAGAAACTATATACTTATAAAACATACTAATAGTAAAAAATACTTACTTACTGTTCTTATTTAAGAGTAGTAAAAAGATAGAGTATTTAATAAAACTTGTAGTTTGTAGTGTTAGAAAGAGAAAAGGTCTTTTTTAGTCAAACTAACAGTGTTTTCTAACTATTAGTACATAGTAACTTTAGTTAATTAAACTAAGGTAAGAAGTTAAAGTACTCTCTTTTTATACTCTTTCCTAGTATAATATTATTCTAGTAACTTTGTAATATATTTCTTATATTATTATTTTTAATTTTAATGTTTAATTTACTAATTAAATATAAATAAACTATTATAGTTAACAATAAATACAAGAGAAATATTATAAATATTTGAGTTGTTTTACAAGTTTAATACTACTATGAACTTGATTATGTAATGAACTGCTGAAATTCAAGAGTATATAATAATATATCTCTTCTTATTACTTATTCTCTTTAACCTCTACTATTTCTCTCAGTCTAACTCTCTATCTAACACTATGTTCTTACATCTGTTCTCTCTAGTCAAGCATTCTACTTACAAATGTTCTCTAGTAGACACTCTGCCTACAACTGCTAAATAATAAACAGCTCTATACTCACTATTCTATCTACTATTACAAACTTGTACTAAGTTTCAGATCCTGTACTGAGTCTCAAACTCTATAAGAATACTACCTAGCTAACTATACTTCTCTCTTAAGGTTTCACCACCAAGTGCAAATAGCTAGTCTACTCTATTACTTGTACTAAGTCTCAGATTCTGTAGTAGAATCACTTTACACTGTTCCTTCTAACCATTATTATAAAGTGTAGACAGCTAGTCTATTTCATAATAATCACATTAGACATACACCCCTCTCTGTATTTTGTCTCCTCTCCTCTCCCTCTTGTGTGTTCCCTCTTTTGTCCTTCCTTTACATTGTTAATTGATACTGAATCCTGAATTCAATGTACTACATTTTTATACTTTCTTCTTCCTGCTCTACAGTACAAAAAGTAATGAACAAGTACAACTGTAGAACAATGTCTATGTACAACTACACTCATAATACTATCCTCTCTCTGACCCTGTACTCACATTCCTTCCCTATACATTCAATAATTGACATTACTCTCAGTAGGTCCACTTTACTTACATTTACATTTCTTAGTAACATAGATAGTACTATATTGAATAGAAGTAGTGGCCCTCCTCATTCTGCCTAAACTGAGTTCATCCACACCTTCCAGTTTGCTTCTCCCTTAGAGCTAGAATGTCTCAGAGATATACACTTTCAAGTTACAACTCAGTCTACTACACTTCCTGTCAGATATTGTAGCCAGAACAGACAGTACACACATGAATACAATTTTGCCTACAGTATTAATAAGCTTGTTCAACACTCTAGCCCTGGATCTTAACCTGAGTACACTACTTATCCTAGTTGTATACTATTATAGTGTGTCTATATCTTTACTTCAAGTACCTACCCATACTAACAATTCTCTCTCCCTTAGCAAGTCATTTGCCCATCCTGTCTTACAAGTGTAACCTTATCCTCTACAGTCTGTACAATGTCTGGACTGAGTAGCAACCAAAGCATGGTGACAAAGACTACATCAAATGTTAAGAACATGTTCACCCTTTTCAATACTCTTACTTTCTGGTTCATCTAGATCTATTCAAGGTGTAAGCCTTGTGATTGACACTTATAACACACTAACAAGTTTCTTACTCAGGTTCAGTTTAATTACAATCTCTGCTACTTTGTACTTGTATTACAACAGATATAGTTACTTGTACTCTACACAAATCCTAACACAGACAGTACAGGGCCTCTCTCAACATTGTCCTCCTACAGAACTGTCAGTCAACCAGTACACTATGTGTACAAATATTATCAGGTATACTTGTCCTCAGATTATTTTCTTTAATTATTATAGATACTAATGTACTGTATAAATACTTTAATATAATTTTTATTTATTTTAATAATGAATGTTATAACAGAAAATGATTATCATTAAGAAATACTTAGCTTTGTATAGTCTGTAAAACATTATAAACAAATATTATCCTTTAGAAATATAGAAATTCTTATTATACCTTTTAAAAAAAAGGAGGTCCAATATAATGTATTTTACATGTTTTAAAGGAGTATTACCTTTATTTACTTTTGTAATAATAATAAACCTTTTAGTATAGTATACAAACTTATAGTACTTTATTAAAACTCACAATCTGATATTATGTAATTTACTCTTTTTTTATCTATTTCACACTATTATATTAATATATAAGGCTTTAGACTTTTTCTCAATGTATGCCTTACTTCTCAACCCTTTCCTAAGAGTTTCATCAATAAGACTAGACAAAGGAGTATAGCTATAATACACAGTTAATTTAGAAAAAATAACTTGGACTTCTGTACACACTAACAGGACAAGATAACAATGTTTACTCTGACTTATACATTGGCTAAGTCTATTTCCTTAAGCAAACATTTAGCAAGCAAGATTGCACAATATGAATACTATTCTATAGCTTCAATGTTCTACTTTAGCTAATTACTATTTATCAATTCATTCGAGTTAAATCACTAGCTTTATACTGTTGCAACAAAGCGGAAGTATGCAGGAAGAGCTTGACCAATAGATAACCAGATCTATTTGACAAGCATTAAATATCAGGTCTTATCAAACTAAAAGGTAATTAACAAACCCACATTGTACAAAAGGTAACTAGTTTGGTCTGCTTTAACCTTTTTCATCATCAAAAACCGACCTCCTATCACGAGTCCTAGTAAGTGGAACGCTAGAGCAGGCACTGTTTCTAGCCTCCATACAATGCTAAGGACTGAAGACCAGATGAGTAGTAGGAAAAAGATCAAAGTCCGGGAAGCAGTGGGCCAAACAATTGGCATTGTCTTGCGCCCTATAAGTTTGTCGCCAACTGTGTCTTTGAAATCCTGTGCCTGGATCGTTGTCAGGATGACTACCACACTATAGAGGATGGACAAGTAGCTGATATTATCCAGACTGTAGCAGTTTGAGCCTGATTAATATGATTTAGTATCTGAAATTAGATGAGGTTGATAAAATGCTTTATAGAATTCACACACCAGCAATGAGGCATGAACCAACCCCAAGGAAGTATTGCAGAATGGCATTCATAACTCCTCGCTCAATCCAATGGGAGTTGATGTTTAATTCGTCAAGGCCAAAGAAGAATACAAATAGGCCAATACTCTGATACAGCACCTGCACACTGTAGCATGCTGAAAGTGCAAAGCATAACGGCACAAGCACCCAACGCAATATGTATGCATTCTCCAGAGTAATTCGTTTGGATGGAATGGGTCGATAGGGCTTATTATGCTCATCCTCCTTAGGGTCACGAGTTTGGTTTGCAAGGTCGTGTTGAAGAATATGAAGCCAAACCCAAAAGGCAACATGGGGTATACGTCCCAGCGACGCCAGTGGTGCAGAGCCAGCAGCAAGAGCTGTCTATTAGGATAGGTAAGCCTTGATAATAGTATACATAGTGAAAGAGGTGCGTACAATGGTCATGACACCTGTCTTGAAATCCGACTTTGTGAATAGGAATAAGGTCCAGAGATGATAGGACAGTCCAGACATAATTTGGCCCAATGTATGCAACATGGATGAAGTATATATGGAGAGCAAGTGAGAAGAGCGAGTAGTCTCTGCAACAAGCATGCTAAATGATATGACTTTGTAACAAATGGCATCTTTGTCCATGTGCTTTTATATGCAAGATACAAGCAGAACTTTAAAAAGTATAGTGTTTTCCAATAACGGCAGAGTAAATGGTCCAAGCAAAACCCCGGTGGGTTAAGTCAACTATAGCAATGTTGATACCATAGATGCACTTTAGGACTGACCAGAAGGACTTTCCCCAACAGAGAAATTTTTACATCACTTCTATAAATACCTGATCAACACAGTAACTCCCCAACAAGACCAGTTGTGTTGTTTGCACCTTACCCAACTATACAATAGCATATATACATTGACCGGAAATTTTGGGGAAAGATATATCTTGACCTGTTTTAAAATTGGGGTAGCTAGTTTGTAGGGATCAGCATTGTACTGTATAGTACAGAATATGTCTGTACCATATATGGTACGACAAGACACTATACTAGGGTCCCAAAGCACCAAATAATACAGTCTGTACCCTGTATACAGGATGCGACAATGTGGTGTGGATCTGCCCGGTCAAATGTACACATGTAGGTTACCATGTGTACATTTCTTCTTTCTGTATGCTTTCTGACACTTCCTGGATCTTTCTTTTCTTCTATTTTCATTAATGTTTATACTGTTCACTTGAGGGATCGTATTTTTACTGCGTATTACTGTTATTACCTGTTGTTTACTGCCCTGTTTTCTCATCATGTTGTTCATTATAGACAATATACCGAGTTTTTAAAATTGATGACATATTAGATTACAGTACATGAATGATCAGCCACAGATATCTCGTGAAAATGTGAAAACCTGAACACACCAATCTATCAGATCAGCTGCTGGCAAACAAAGCATAACTGCAAATGTCAATCAAGCACTAATGTGCACCAAGTTAACCCATCATTCAGTCGTGACACCTTCCTGCCATTTCAATGCCAAGTTGCCAACATCCATACTATCCGGATCATACTTGTTTGAAATTGCCACTCGTGCAGTACAAATCAGTATATCCTTATAACTTACAACAGTCTGTGTTACGTCACATCGTTGCGCGCACACTTTCACCTCTCCACAGGCACACAGACATACAATAGAACAGTATAAGGGTCAATATATAAGTAGCCATACACTTCCTTGGATTTGAAAATACATCATCGTTGGGGACGTTTCCGATTTATCAAGCAATTCTAACGAGTGGTGAAAGAGTGGACAATGAAATGAAATCTCTTAACCCTCTTCAGAACTTATCATATAAAAAACACTGTGGGAGAGCAATATGATCTATCATCCACATAGTATCTAAACATGCCTCTCGTGTGGGATATTGCTCTTGCAGGACTTGCGCTTGCTTTCAGTTATTTTCTCTATTCAAGGGGGCAGACTGTGCCTGATACTTTGCCTCCTGGCCCTCCCAAGGATATCTTGATAGTACACGCGCGAAGAATACCGTTCTATAAGGGATGGGAGGTGTACACAAAGTGGAAGGAACTATACGGTTGGTAGTATACAGGAGTTTGTTGTGCTAAGAACTAACTAGCTTGTAGGAGATGTGATTTACACCCAAGCCTTTGGCCGGTCCGTGGTTGTCCTTAATTCAATTACCTCTGCTCGCGACCTCTTAGAAAAGAAGAGTAGTATATTCTCAGACAGACCATATTTGCCGGTCTTTTACAAGTACGTGCTTCTATCATTTTCATTGTATCTTTTTCATTGTATCTATTGTGAATTGAATGTTGTCTCTTGTAGGATGGGGTTCAAACTACTTCTTCCTCTCCTCTGCTATGGCCCACACTTTCAGAAGCACCAGCAGATGTTTCATTAATACTTCAGTCCTTAAGCAATCAAAGCATTCAGACCCACACAAGAGTGTGAACTACTGAAATTCCTGTGTCATTTACTGTTAACATATCTTACAGACAATATAGCATTAGTAAACTGATAATACTAGTGAGAGTGGAACGGATACATGTGTCAGATGCATGTATCAGATACACAATACAAGACATGTATTGGATAAAAAAACATATTCCAGATAACTGAGACATACAGACAGACGAACAATATAAAAGGAACACTTTATTAACTAAATACATATCATTATCAGGGTCAACGCCCTCATTACTTGTGTGATAACCTAAGAATACACATTCCAACAGGTTATGAGCCTTGTGCTCTCTGCTTAACACCTCATATTACTACTACAATACTATGCATCTATAATGGACTCTCCAAGTACCCACAATATGTATGCATTGAACAGAACTGTAACAAATCCATCTACATCCTCAGAGCAGACAAGTAGGACAAATCCTACTCACTGTAAACCTGCCAATGTCCCTAAACACTTCAGACATAACATTGTACAACTAAAGGACACATCCAGATTCAAAATATGGAAGTATTGGATTAACTCTGCTATTGTAGCAACAGGCTATACATACTTGTTCACAAATGAACCAAAGCCTGAAGACATCAAGGTTGTGCACACAATTTACACATTAATAATCAATAAAGTAGCAGATCATATAATGGCTAACTTTATGTATACTGGAACATCAATCAAAACTCTTATGAGTGGATTAGAAGAATGCTTCAACCCTCATACAGTTACACATAAAGTATACAATGAGTCTTTACTATTTAAATGTAATGATCATGTTAAAAACTTCAGACAAACACTTGATAAGCTAGAGCAGATATATGTGTAGCTTGTAGCAGACAATTTAAAACCCACAGACACTATGTATCAAGCGGCTATTTACACTACAACTCCTTCTGAATATAGTGGTACTATTATAGCTATGGAACAAGCTTGAGATATGTTTTATGACAGAAAACCTGAATCTGAGTATTAACCTATTAAGCTGCAAAGACTTATTACAGTACTACATCAAGCATTTAACAATTTTCACATTAAAAATCCTCTACAATACAATAATAACAAGCCTACAATACACAGACAGGCAAATATGTTTTATACAAAAGATAAAAAGCACAGAAATAAAGGAATTAATAAAAATACAAGCAAACTGACTCTAGTATTGAAATGCTATAATTGTAGCAACCCAGGGCACTATGCACATGATTGCCACACATCATTGTCCCAATTGACACTAGATGCCCAAGCCAAAAAGGTTAATCATTCAGCAAACACAGTAGAAGCAACAGAAGCAAAGCCTGCACCAGTAGCAACTACAGTGTGTGTAAGTGCATATATCAAACAGGTACCAGAAGTTGAAATGACAGAGATACTAGCCTCTCAGTAGGCAAATACTATTGCAAACACAAACACAAACAACCCATTTACAAATTGGGTATGTTATAATAATATTTTGGACGAAAATAATGTATTAATAAATAATTATATTCCTAATACAATTGATATAATTGATTCCAGTACTATAATACATGCTACACCATATTATTTTCACCTCACAGACATATGAAACATATCCCCAGTAACAGTTACACTCACAAACAAATCAACAGTAACTCTTACAAAGGCTAGAGATATGTGTATAGAGATTAAAAAGGGAAATTCAGGAGATACATGTATTCCTGTAATAAATAAAATAATGCTGAACAATGTTTATTATCATTTGGATTTAAACTTTTCACTTATAAGTCAAGTGTTATTATGTAACAATGGTTTCACATTCTTGTTCAAGTGATCAGAATGCATTATTTATTATGAGCAATGCAAAATAGGAACAATCAAACTTGAAAATAACTTATATGTGTTAAGAAACACTCATTATATGAATTCTATGAGTAGAATCAGTGTTTACAATTTACATAAACGTCTTAGTCATATTAGTTATGATTATATTAAACGTTTATTACAAAGCAATACAACAATATTATCCTAAAAGATAATAAACTTCAATGAAAAACAATGTGTTGATTGTATAAAAGCAAACATTGAATAGATAGCACAACCAAAAACAAGATCTTTGGAAATAAGTGCTAATTACAGTAATATAATTCATATGGATATAATAGGTCTAGTATCCCATGAAGGATATAAGAATATTTGATATCTATTAATGTTAGTTAATGATGTAACACATTAGGTATCTTTATTAAAGTTACAGATGAAGGATGATGCTTACACACAATATGTTTAATAGAGCACAAACATATTTACACAATATGGAATACAAATAAAACAATTGCAAAGCAATAACAATACAGTATTCTGTAGTAAATACTTTTAAGAGTATTTAATTAGTCAAGGAACAAAATCCAGACTAACTGTTAAACATACACTACAACAGAACAGAGTAGCAGAACAGACACATAAAACAATATTTAAACAAATACGTGCCTCTATTACTTTACAGAACATTCCTTTATGCTTATAGGTAGAAGCAGCTATGCTACAAGTATACATTCATAATAGAACTCCTCAGAGTATGATAGGATATGCAACTCCTTATTATAAACAATACAGACGTAACACTAGTATTGATAACATACACGAATTTGGTCAATACATAATAATACAAAGTGAAAACCCTTCTAAAATAACAGACAGAGGTTATTACAGATGATGGATAGGTTTCAACAATAATTCCAAAGGTCATATTACTTGGCATCATAGGAAAAGAACTATCGAACAAAACATACAATTCCTAGATACTAAACCTTCACAAATTGAAGGGGACTTGGAAGAAACTAAAGGAAACAAACTGGACATTGATAGAAATACGAATCCACCCAATCCAGTAGATCTAGACAATGAAAACAACTATTGTGGCCAAGCACACAAAGGACGGATGCATGCCAAAACAGAATCCAGTAAGGGGGAACACTCTCAAGTGATAAAACGTCTTTAATATGTTTCTCCAGGACAAGCTGTTTTCAAGCAGCCTACTCAATCTAACAAGTCCAATTGAGAATCCAATAGATTAATACTATTACAACACTCTAATTGAAAGCACAAAGCTACCAAATGTTTAAGAGAAGCAAATCTACCTAATAAACAAACAAAAGGTTTATCATACATTGATGAAACAAATATTATGATCTATCTCAACAAGTTCAACAATCTACATATGGAAATAATGGCAGATCCATTAATGTATAAAGAAACAATCAGTAGAGACAATTGCAAGCTTTAGAATAAAGCTATGAATGATGAAGTACAACAATTAATACAATCCAATATGTGGGAGATGGTGTATCCTCCAAATAACACAAATGTTATAGGAACACAATTTGTATATAAAACAAAACAACTAGCAGATAACTCTATTGAGAAACGAAAAGCTAGATTAGTTGTACAAGGAATATTTCAACAAGACAGTAAAGATTATTATAATAATGATCTATTTGCACCTACTGCACACATATCTTTGATAAGACTTGCAATCATATAGGGATGTTCAAAGAACTACAAGATACATTAAATAGATGTTAAATCTGTATACTTAAACAGAGAACTTGACAATGATGAAATAATATTTATTAAACCTCTACTAGGTAACCTAGTAAAGTTAAAACCTGGGCAAGTATTAAGATTGTACAAAGCATTATACAGATTGAAACAAGCCAGACAATGTTGGTATAAAACTTTATGCTGAATACTTATTACTATTAGTTTTATACAATCAGAACATGACTTTGTAGTATTCTACACAAAGAAGGACAAATGGACAGTTGCAATATTATTAATTCATGTTGATGATATAACTATTGTTGCACAAAGTAATAATGTTATTAATATGATTAAAGAATTATTATGATTGCATATAGAAATTACAGACAGTAGCAAATTACATTGGTTACTAGGCATAGAAATCAAACATAACAGAAACAAACAGACAATAATGATGAGACAAAGACATTATATCAAGAACGTATTAACTCAATATAACTTACAAAACAAAAAGAATTTGCAAATGCCTATGCAACCAAATACACTATTAGTAACAGACAATAATCTACCAGAAGATGAACGTGCATTTATGTCCAAAATACTGTATATGAATATGGTTGGATCCTTACAATATATAGCAGATTGTACACAACCAGACATAGTGTTTATAACATCTCTACTTGCAAAATACTTAAAATCCCTAAGCATGTTACATTATAATACTGTAGTACATTGTATGTAATACTTAAAGGGAACCAAAGACAAATGGTTAATATTCAGACAAGGAAATCATAATTCTATAACTGGTTATATGGATGTGGACAGCATAATGCAAGAAAATAATAAAGTGATATCTGGATACACATTCTTCTTAGAAGGATTGCTTATATCTTGGTCAAGTAAAGGACAGAAATTAGTATCCTTATCTATGTACAAAGCAGAATTAATAGTACTATCAAATAGTATACAAGAAGCTATAGCATTACAATACCTAGCAGATGAGATACTGTAGATCTCTGATACACCTACAAATATTTATTACAATAACCAAGCAGTAATTAAATCTATAGAAGCAGACAAAACAAAGTACTCAACAAGAACAAAGCATATTAGCTTACAGCACAATTTTATTAAATGCTACATTGAGGAACAACTTGTTAATATAAAGTATGTTTAAACAGACAATCAAAGGGCAGACATCCTGACTAAAGCATTACATGTTCCAAAGATCAAACACCTTACAGACTTGCTAGGTCTTGTAAATGTTTGAAGGGGACTGTTAACATGTCTTACAGACAATATAGCATTAGTAAACTGATAATACTAGTAAGAGCAGAACAGATACATGTGTTGGATACATGTATCAGATATGTAATACAAGACATGTATTGGATAAAAAAACATATTCTGGATAACTGAGACATACAGACGGACGAACAATATAAAAGGAACACTTTATTAACTAAATACATATCATTATTAGAGTCAATGCCCTCATTACTTGTGTGATAACCTAAGAATACACATTCCAACATTTACTGACAAACCCAGACAATTTCATAACACACATTCACAAGTAGGTGGATGAGATATAGATTATGGTATTACTGTAACTAACACAGTTTCTAGTTTCGTTTCAGGGACAATCATTTCAGTGACATACAGCCATGATGTAGTGACTGAGAATGATCCATTTGTTGAACTCATCAAAACAGCTTTGCGTTTTCCTGTAAGTACTAACAATATTGGTACTATGCTTCTCAACATATTCCCTTTTAGTAAGCAAGCAAAGTTGGAATTGGATCAATACTGTGAAACTAATATTTGCAACTTCTATTTCAAACAAAAGTGTGTTACACACTTGTATGGTTTCCTGGAATGGGAGTGAAACAACTCATTCTGAAAGGACATGAGCTTGCTAGCCATATTATGACACAGCCACTGGAAGAACTCAAGGCAAAGAGAGTATGTACTGTAACAAAAAGGATTATTCAACTTACTCAAACGTGTATCACTTGTCAGGATAAAGGGAATGTGCCTCAATGCTTGATGAACAAGCTATTGGACAGATACAAAGAAACACATTCTATTGACCCTGAACATGAAAAGGATATTATGAATATCAGGACTTCAATATATTCTGGTGAGAATACCAAATATATCTTTCAATCGAGTTTGCTAAACCCTTCTCAGTAGAATCTGACACAGTTAGTTTTGCAAAACTCTGATAAATATAGCTATCCTTGACTGTTCTACTTGGACATTCCAGACTAAGACAGCCCTTAAGATGTTCTTCTTGTTGATGACAATCTACCCTGAAGTAGTAATGAAAGCACAAAAAGAAATTGATTGCATCATTGGAAGAGTCTGTTTACCCTGTATTGCCAACAGGGAGAACCTACCATATCTCAGCTGCATCCTGAAAGAAATGTATTGGTAAGCTTGACCAGTCACCATACTGTCAATTGTTTGATTGTTTGTGATTCTGACTCATTCATCTAAGAATTCAACCTCCTGTACTCTTAGGTCTGTACTTTATAGTTTCTATTTCTCTAAAAATATTTGACACAATAGGATAGGTATTCCCTATAGGTCCATACAAGCTGAGCAGTACTGTGGATAGACTATCCCAGAAGGTACTATGGCAGTCACTAACATATGGTTTGGCTATGCATCATAATTTTGCTTGTCTACACTCACTGGATGATTAGGCTCATAATGAGGGACAAGAAAATTTTCCTGAATCCAGATATTTTTTTGCCTGAAAGGCACATAAAGAAGGTTGCTTCTGACTTGAACAAGGTTGCTCTTACTGAAGTGATAGTCAATTCCACATCATTTGTGGCTGAAGACAATCCTAGTAGTATTGTATTTGGATTTGGAAGGAGGTCAGAATATATGCATTTATTAATTATTTAACTGACTCTCTGTCTACTAGGGCCTGCCCTGGAAAATACTTTGCTGATACAATTTTATGGGAGACAATAGTGAATGTGCTAGCATTATTTAACATAAAACCTTACACAAATCCTAAGACAGGCAAGATAGATGTCCCAAACTTTGAGTTTGATAGTGATGGGATTATTGTGTGAGTAATAGAGTATTGCTACTTCTGTGAGGACTCTTTGTTACTAAGCATAGGTCTATCCAGATATCCAAAGCCTTTTAAGTGTGCAGTTACTCCACAAGATGCAAATTGGGCAGAAAACATCACAATGAATGTCTGAATCTGCCATGAACACAGCTGTATGACTGTCTCTGGTACAACATTTACTACCAGCACTGTGGCCTGTTAGCTTTAATGGGATATGTAAAATATGTAATAATACACAGGACACCCCTTACAAGCCAACAAAGAATATCTTCCTTACTATAAATGACTTTTTGTACTCTGATGGCAAATCATGATGAATGTAAATGAAGTAAATGATATGATTACATAAAGTGACATGAATTTGAATATATAACCTTCCTGCTGTGATTTACTACACATTGTCAGGAATTCATGAGTGACACATTTTATTCTTGACAGCTTCAGTGGTTGACTCTAGGCCATTGCTGATTTATCAGAACCATGCAATTATGGAATTGCCTCTGTAGAGGTAGCAGTTGCTAATGTTCTACTTTGATTAATATCAAGTTTGTTAGATTTTGAACTAGGGTCCTGAAACTTAAGTTTAACAGCAAAGGTGTTCTACCGTGAATAAGACTATTGCTGAGGGATAGTATCGAAGACAGATGTAATTTGCTGTTGTGGGACACAGGATTTTTTACTCAGATAACCTGTACATTCCTATTATCCTTCATGTATGCTTTTATGTACAATTTAGCAGTAAAAATGCTCCTCCATGCTTGATGAACAAGCTAACTTACTAGACAGATACGAGGAAACGCATGTGATTGACCCTGAACATGAAAGGGACATTATGTACATTGGAGCAACAATTTACACAGGTGAAACAATTACCTTATAAATTAATGCAACAATCTTATCGACCTTCTTCATTAGCTGGTTCGGATACAGTGAGTAACAGAGAATTGTTCCGGAGTCTTAGAACCCATAAGAGTATTTCAGACCAAATCGGCTCTTCACAACGTTCTTCCTGTTGATGACAATCTATCCTGAAGTGGCGAAGAAGGCAGGAGGAAATTGATCGAGTCGTCGGGAAAGACCGTCTGCCATGTGCCGAAGATAGGAATGATCTCCCTTATCTTAATTGCGTGCTAATCGGTACGTCACGTGCACTACTGTTCCTTGCCGTTCTCGACGTTAAGCTAATGCTTATCCTGGGATGCAACCTCCTGCACCTCTCGGTCCGTGATCGCCTTTAACGAGTTTTCTATGCGTATCCTAATACGGGTGAATAGGCGCCCCGCATAAGTCTACACAGGCTGAGGAATATCGAGGATGGACAATCCCAGAAGGAACAGTTGCAGTTACTAACATCTGATTTGTACATTCATTCGATTATTTCTCGTTCGTTGCTCATTAGATATTCAGGCTAGTGATTAGGGATGAAAAGAATTTCCCGAATCCAGAGACCTTCATGCCTGAACGGCATATGGCGAAGGTAAAAGACGATCCGAATGGCACTTCTTCCGCTGCCGCGTCTGCCGATGCTACATCGTTTGTCGCAGAAGATGATCCCAGCAGCATAGTATTCGGATTCGGATTCGGAAGAAGGCCAGCATGCTAAAAATAGTGGTTTTTATCACTTTCTGAAGCTTCGTAACAAGGGCTTGCCCTGAAAAGTATTTCGCAGACTCGATGCTATGGGAAGCAGCTGCGAACGTACTAGCGTTATTCGATATACGCCATACGCAGACCATGAAACCGGGAGAACCGAGGTGCCTGAGTTCGAGTTCGATGATGATGGGATCATAGCGTGAGTAAAGCTTCCAGCAGGTAAACTCCTCGTTACTTAGGCTGAATTTAATTTATAGATATCCGAAGCCTTTCAAGTGTGATTATCCCGCGAGACGCAAAACGGATCGATGATACGACTATCAATATATAATTTGAGGAGTGCGTGGCTACCGTACAATTTACTGCAAGCTTTAATATCATCTTGTCTCTTTCTACTTTACTGAACTGAAGAAGCTATAAATAATCTAATTTTTCATGTGATCCGAAGGGAAAACGATAAGCCACAACATTAGTATTGCCGCTAGCGTGTTACTGTAATGTGCATGAATAAGCAATCACAAGCTCAGGACTTTCCTTTGTCAAGGCAGAATGGTCAATTGCAATATGTTGATTAGGCACTTCAGAGTCTGAGCCTAAAAAAGCCCACAGAACTTTGCCATATTATTCAAGGTGAAGGTATGATGTACGGACACTATAATGACTCGATATTCTAGAAATAACCTTTCGGATCAATGAAATTACCCGAATGCTATAACTTCTCTTCAAATCATTGTTGTTATCATTACCAAGCGTTCTTAAATTGGACATTTATAACATAACTTAACAGTGGTTTTGTTGCAAAAAAATCCTAGCTAAAGACAATTGTTCGAAGGGTTGCTTACATGTTAAGATCACTGATTTCTGGAATCGTTGATGCGATTCTTGTTCGAATGCGCTATTTGAAGATATAACCTTACAAGAAACCCTTTGATCAGGATGATCAAAGACTTTAACCCTTTGTACCTACACACAAGCACTGTGAACCATTCTTCCTTTGAGCTGATACTTAAGCTTGTCCTCTGATGGATCATTACCTCTGTTTCAATCATGTGTCTATTCTGCTGCCTTATGGATAATCGATAAGGGCACACTAGATACTCTGCGGATGTTTGATTTAGGCTCTACAATCTTACTCTTAACTGCGATCATCTGTGCATTTATCAAGCCACATAAGCACTAGTGGGTGTTTGCCTACATTAACGTCCCAGTTGTGCTTCCTTGTGAAGATTTTACAGCCTACATTTTCCTGTTGGCTTCAATGGTAAACCTTCATCTCCTGGATCATACAGGCATAAAAAAACCCCATTAAGTATCTGTACTTTAGCGATCCAATAATGTTTACAATGGCTGTATCAACTACGGCCTGCTTTCCAACAGGCTTCAGTCCACTATGAGTGACTAGTTATTTTGCCCATATACTATTTGACTTCCTTCGACTATGCAGAGACATGATGGCTGGGAATGATATCAGATTATTTAGAGTCTTATCCAAAGGAATGATAAAGAATTCGACAAGGGAAACGAATTTCCGTCAATTCTACCGTTGGCGTGATCTTCCTACCCGGGCCTGACTCAGCGTTCGTGACTATTCTACCAGTTTATATAAATAGTCGACCATCGGATAAAATCAAACAATCTATCAACCTGAGCATCCAAGCATGCCTGTTGTGTGGGACATTGCCTTTGCAAGTCTTGCAATAGTTTTCAGCTATGTTCTTTATTTGAGAAGACAATCTCTGTCCAGGACCCATCCACCTAGCCCACCCAAGGACTTCTTGATAGGTCACACATAGAGTATCCCGTTCTGTAAAGGATGGGAAGTGTATACAAAGTGGAAAAAGACTTACAGTAGGCAGTGTATTAGACATTGCTGTGTTAGATACTGATCAGTGTGTGAAGGAGATGTGATTTATCTCCAAGCCTTCAGCCAGTCAATACTTGTCCTTAACTCAATTTCTGCTACTTGCAATCTTTTGGAAAAGAAGAGCAACGTGTTCTCTGACAGGCTGTATTTGCTAGTAATCTACAAGTAAATACTTCTGTCTACTATTCACTTGCCATTTGTAAACTGACTGTTCTCCTTTGTAGAATGGGCTTTGAGCTGCTTCTTCCTATCCTTTATTATGGTCCACACTTTCGGAAGTATCAATGCATGTTTCACCAATGCTTTGGCCCACAGGCAATCAAAGCATTCAAACCCATGCAAGATTGCAAACTCCTAAAATTCTTGTATAATTTATTGACAAAGCCAGATAATTTCACAATGTATGTACACAAGTAGGTGGGTGGAAACAGATAGAATTCTTAATTGACACACTTTCTAGCTCTGTTTCAGGAACAATACTTTCAGTAACATATGGGCATGAAGTAGTAACCAAGAATGACCCTTTTGTCAATCTTGTTGAGAAAGCTGTGCACTTGCCTGTCAGCTCTAGCAACCTTGGGACAACACTCCTTGATATCTTCCTGTTCAGTAAGCAAAATTGAATTTATATCAAGGCTACTTGACTAATACTTGTAATGTCTACTTGATATTAATAGTGTACTATACTCCTGCTTGGTTGCCCAGGATGGGAGTAAAAAGTCTCTTTCCTGAAGCATGCCAGCTTGCTACTCAACTTGTAACACAGTTGCTAGAAGAACTCAAGGCAAAGAGGGTATGTACAACATATGTTAATGATTACTAAACCTACTCTAAGACACATTGCCTGACTATAGTTGCTATTGTCCAGTCCAGGACTGCTGTGGACCAGGTCTAGACCTGGACTAGACCTCTGGTCCCCACCTACTATCCAGAACATCACCACTGTCTCAATACTCACTAGATTGACTTCGGATCACTTCAGAGAGGTAGTGATACATCACAAGGATGTTTCCCATATGCATGGGCAAGGTATTTTATTATTTACTTGTTACTAACTGTTACTTTTAAGTAAGTTTTCCACCTTTTCTACTAATTTTTAGCATTTAGGACTAAATGCTAGAGGGCAAGTGTAAGGATTTGATTTACTGGTTCGTATTTTATTATTACTACATTGCTGATTGTGTCAGATCATTACACAGTGGGACCTACAAGCACATATATTCTCATTGTAGTTAGTTACACTTTCTCCTCATGTATCTACACATGTATACCCCTATAAAAGACAGTATTGATCACTGGGTAAAGGGGATTCTTTTCCCCTGACCCCTTGCTCAAGTACTAGGTTATCCTAGTCAGTAGTTGAGTAAACTAAGGGCGATTAGAATTCTCTTGTGAGGAACAGTGAGTTTCCTTACACTTTAGCACTAATTCCTTTTTATCTCTTTCTGGGCCTATTCCTAATCTGTTTAGTACCTCTGCCTTTTCTTGTGAAGCTTTCTGTACTATACTAGAGACTTTGTTTAACTGTTTTCTAAGTCTT